GGTTTTGGTGAACATTTGGTTCACTGGTTTGCTAGTATTACTTTAATACAAAATGTTTGATCACATTAAAAGAACCTTCTTTGACAGTGTTAGCCGACTAATTTGTAGAGTTCATGCACTTCATTAAATGTCAACCTAAATTTGTCGTTTAAAACTTTGAAGTATTGGGAATACATTTTTTTTTCTATTAAAACTTTTCCTTTAGTCCTCTACACACTATCCATCTTGCTGGATCCAGCATGCGGGACAGCGCTATACGCGTAAAAGAGATCCTGTATCTCCATCTGTTAAATGCTTAAAAACATATAATAATTAATTAAAAATTTGGTGTATTTGTTAATTTGACATGCTAAAAAATATTCCTCATGCTTGCAGCCTTAATTAAAAATACTCTAGCAGTCATTTTAGGTACCTATAATTTAAACAAAAGTTCAAAAACAAAAATGAAATGGTAACATTTTTCATTTCATCAATTTGAGGTTAAAATTTCGAACAATTATATGTCACTAGCTGTCCCAGCGAACTTCGTACCGCCATAAAAAAATAGGGGTTGGTGAAAGAAGGGTGAAAATTTAGGGTTGTATGTATTTGTGTACGATGTATCATAAAAAAAAATAAAAAAAAAATACTAAAATTGAAAAGAAAAATTTAGGGTGGATTAATTACCCTTAACATTTAGGGGGATGAAAAATAGATGTTGTTCGATTCTCAGACCTACCCAATATGCACACAAAATTTCATGAGAATCGGGAAAGCCGTTTCGGAGGAGTTTAACCACAAACACCGCGACACGAGAATTTTATAAATTAGACTAACTGACCCAGCGAACATCGTACCGCCATAAAAAAATAGGGGTTGGTGGTAGAAAGTTGAAAATTTAGGGATGTATGTATTTTTGTATGATGTATCATAAAAAAATTAAAAAATATATATATATCTAAAATTGAAAAAAAAATTAGGGGTGGATTACCCTTAACATTTAGGGGGATGAAAAATAGATTACATCCGATTCTCAGACCTACCCAATAAGCACACAAAATTTCACGAAAATCGGTCAAGCCGTTTCGGAGGAGTTTAACCACAAACACCGCGACACGAGAATTTGATATATTAGATAATCAACTTTTAGTTTGAAAGTTTTGTGAATTAGAGTAGGCTTGGAGAATTTAATTGTCAAACTACTTTCGGACGAACGAATTTTCGTAATGAAAAGGAAACAGAGTAGGAAACGTGCGAAATTTCGATCGAAATTTAGTTTTTCGTTGAAATAGAGTAGGCCTTCAGTTCTGTTAATCGGATTCATTAGAGATTAATTGGTACGCAATGGTTGTCAGGTATTTATGTACGTTTGCAAATAGGCGAGGGCCATCTCGCGGCGACCAGTGGTGCTGAAGTGCGGTTTCACAGTTAATCGGTTAGCAATTACTGAAAATAGTTTTTGAAGTTATACTTCTTTAGGCGCGTTATGAAAAAATGATGAGAGTGAAATATTAAGATGCGCGCGCATCACTGTAACACAAAATTTTAACAGCATGAAGTTGGTCTTTTAGTTGGTCAGCTTTAGCGACCAACTTCATGCGTTACTTTTGTGTTTACCGCACATTAAGAAAATCTACCAACAAAATAGAAATAGAATCTCTATTTAGTGGGTGCTAACGACTGCATTGTGATGGCCTATCAAAAGTATTTATTAATCTGGAACAACGGAACCAAAGCGCGATTCAGGAGACTACAGCGCCATCTCTTGACCATTGGTGTAGTAGAACCAAAAACCACATCTTTATTTTTTGTAATAAAGTATATAGTATAGTAGTGTAGTTATAGGTATTCATATTTATAATATTTATCCACATGTTTCTAGTTTGTATATTCGGAATACGTGTTTGAGTTTCATACAAGTGCAAATCACATATGTTCTAATAAATTATATTCCGTAGCGATTTTAATTGAATATTTTGATTATTTATTTATTTTTTCAAATTAAAACTGAACTTTATTGACTGTGTCCTTTTCCAGACTTTTTATTAATTTATTGTAATTAATTATTTGCATGCAATTAAAAACTAATTTTAAACGATGCCAAATTGTGATGTTGGAACGTGAATATTCCGGCTCGATTTGGGAGACTCGTGTCGTGCGTGAGCAAGCCAAGTAGTGACGACATATTCCGAACACCTTACTAAGATAGGTATTAGAATGATCGGTATTGCAGAATAGTCGGCCGACTAGTCGGCAATGAGGGCTACCGTTTTCTGCCTCACCAGATGGCGCCACTGTTGAGCGAGGTCCTAAATTGTAACTTTTAAAGTTTATTAATACGCACATGAAATCAAAGGTTACATTTAGATCGTATTTTGACACAAAAGAACCATATCCTAAACATAATAGGCCATGCCACAGTGGCGCGCAGTTCCGTTTTATTCGGAAAAAATGGGGACATAATCATTTTTCTAAGCTCAAATTTTTAATAACTGACATTCATTGCCACATAACTCATATTTGCCATAATTAAGCCGAATTGTTACCAATTATTCACAACATTATTTTAATTAAAAATAAACCCGCGTAGTCAACCAACAAGCAATAACATTTGACATTTCGGAGACCTCACGCTACACTAGCGCCTCTAGCGGCGGATTCATACGCGATAACCCTCATTCGGAAACCGATTAGTCGGCTAGTCGGTTAGTAGGCCCATCTCTAATTGGTACCAAATAACTATTTTAAAGAAAATGAGCGTGAGGTATTTGAAAATCTTCTATGATGACGAGATGATGACGCGATAGCGCTATCGCTTACGATTTTATTTTGTTAATTCTGACGACCAACAACTTTCCAATCGTCTAACGGGATGGCTATCCATAGCAATCCCGTTAGACGATTGCCCCCCGGTGACGCTGTAATAAAGGTCATCAGTGACCAACAGAATACACACTCATTACATCATCATCATCATCAGCCTATTAATGCCCCACTGCTGGGGCACAGGCCTTCTCTATGGATGGAATAGGGAGATTGGGCCATGACCCACCGCGCGGGCCCAGTGCGGATTGGTGGGTACTCATTACATAAAAATTACAAATTATAAAAAATTTACATAAAAAAAACTACAGCTTTTTTTACAGTAGGTAATAATTTCACAGAAACTATCCTTGTTAATTTTTCATAATATTTTTATGTTGGCATTAAACTGCTTAATTTTTTAATGTGAAGATTTTATTCACAAAAAAGCAACCAAGCTGCTAATGAATCAGACTGAACTTGAACTAGTTAGATTGTTTGGTTGTGATTATTGATGATTACTTACTCACTATGAAAAGTATCATTTTATCGAGTTACTACAAGAGATTATAAGACGTTAGGCAGGCAACTCTAGTCTAGACTTGTATCGATATTATAAAATTAGTCTTTGAAGTCATCATAAAAGTACTTTATCGTACTGCATTTTTTTTTACCCTAGATACACCAACACGAATAAAATCATGCCCGGAACCTGTCCAAAAGGTACATTGGACGATCAACGGAGCTCTGTACGATGATCACGTAGTCTTAACAATATAAGGCATTATTTAAACATTGAAAATCAACTTTAAAGCATACTGTATAAGGTCCTAATTAAAACGCATGGGTCAAAGAGTTATGACAGTCCGAGATGTAAGCTCGTAAAATTTTACGACTTATTGCTATATACGGAAGAGTATAGACCTTATTTCTTTGACACTACGCGCAATTCTGAATGCGCTGTTATCAATATAGCAGATACGGACCGCGAAGAAAAGAGACGGATATATTACCGACCATGCATTTTAATATCGCAAATATTTTCTATTAAATCAGTTCATAGTAAGTATTTAAGTAGTTATTTAACAAAATTTGCTGGTAATGCGTTAAATTAACAAACATTGATTAGATACCTGTCGAAAAAACGTCATTTTACATACTATCAGTATTTAGTTCGCATTTTTTCACGGAGCTCAGCGGCATGTTGACTTTTCAACGGTCCGCGCGTGACTGTGAACCAAGAAGTGCTTGAGTCGTGTTCAAGCACTTCTTGATAGGATACATTTTGAGCGCATGTGGTGTAACTAGGGTATTTAATATCGTTGTTTAGTGCCCTCAAGAGACACAATTGACACTAAATTACATTACTCACTTGAATCGATTCATTATATTCAAACTGCTGGACTCACAGCAATATTTGTAGGTATCAAGTATTTAAAAATAACTAACTAACAATTTTAAGCTAGCTAGACAATTGTCCTTTAAGCATTTCTAAAGAGAACCGTAGACACAAGTTTATTTTATAAAATTCAATGCGAAACTGAAATTCTATAAATAGTATAAAAGCTAGCGGTTTAACTGTTTCTGTAGACGTAATTTCTAGTTCGCTTCATAAATTGATGATGAGCAACGGTATTGATTGCATACAATTTTTACAGTTTAAATAAACAGCTTTTATAGTGTGCACTGAAACAAACAACAATCACGGAGCTATGCTGAAGGTAGTTAAGCACCTATTCAGTGAGAAAAATAAAAAGTTTAAAAGCTCGCAACATTGTAATATTGTGAACTCGCTAGGTTCCTACAAAAACGACCCGTTAAAGATTTTGTTTCAATCCGAGCTCTCATTTTCAAGTCTATTCCCCTCACCTTGATATATGTAAGCGTATATATCTCAGTTGCCTAGTGATGAAAAGACGCCTAATAGCTCTCCAAATTAAACATAAAGTGAAGACGGCACGTGAGCGAATCCTCGACAAAAAGTTCTAAATAAGATACTTTTACTGAGAACGTGAATCAATGAGAAAGGTAAGGTAAGTCTAATTGGAAATGAAATCCTTTTCTTAAAATAACAACGGAGTGTAAACAAAATTTTACTGAGAAAAAAAAATGTGTTTTCCCAACAGATACTTTCTTTAAAACATTCGACTCAGTTTATTTTGTTTTCACTCTATAAACAGAAACGACATCCAAAATTATAAAGATAAATGAAACGTTACCCCCGGAGACGTTCTCTAAGGTAAATGCATTGAACCTCCACTGGACTGACTGATTCAGGATGCACTGCAACAGAAGCAGAAAGGGTTATTATTAAAATACAGGGTGTTCACACATTCGATAATATCGCCGAGCGAGTTGGAACAATCGCGCCGCTAGCGGAACAACTCCCTAAATTAGCTATACGTAACATAGTCTCGTCACAACCGAGTCCTCGACCTGCCCAAGAGTCAGGCAACAACAGAACCGTAGTGGCCGCGTACACAACAAAGCCGCGGGAATGTTTGACAGTTTCTTGGCCGGCAATCAATGCCCGCTGCATCAGGAAGGAATCTCAATGTGTGTCGACTTGCACATAGTTTATGCATATACTCGTCTCGCTTCCTCATAATGCCGTAAACATCAACAATCGCAAAGCCTCTATTTATAGACAGTTTATCATTTCGAAGGCCAGCTAAACGAGTTAATTGGAGGTAAACGATTCGCCTTTATTTCATTACGCTCACACCTCGTCATGAGAGAAAAGAACGCATCGCTTTTACGGTTTTCTAGTACGAAAAATAAATATTTCGCATAGGCGCTACGATTAACATAGATGACGTCACGGGCAAAGAACTAAACGCAACGCGTACAGTATTAATATGTTCATTCGCTCGCCGCGTCCTCGGCGGTGGCACTCGGAACGCATAGCAATATCACAAACATGTCACAAGACACAACATAATATGTAGGTACGGGACGCGCACGAAGACGCGATGCGAATACAAATAGAGTGCGGGTACAATGTTCGCGAGATCGATTCTCGCGGAGCACTCACCTGCACTTGACCGAGTTGGAGGTCGTCCAGGAGTGCAGCCTCTCGGATCAGGGACCGCGTGAGCAGCTTCTTTTTGCGGCGCTTGTGTATGGTGAGGAACCGGCCGGAGCACAAGCCGCGAGGACTCATGTTAGCCAGCTCCTCTGAGACGTCGGCGGCGGGCTGCGGCGGCTCGGGGACTGCAACAACGAGCTTCATTAAAACCTAATTGATATCCCAAAAATAACAGAGACTCACAAGGAAATTAATGCATCTAAATTCGCCAGTGCGCTCGCTCAACACACTTAAATAAAGCAATAACAAACAATGTTACAATAGGCTTGTTGAAAACATATCGATGTATCGATATATCGATATTTTTTGACGATATATTTTGATTCGATATATCGATACATCGATACAAAATAACCAATATCGAAATTCGTATCAAAAACGATATTTTTTTTAATTATTAGCGGCATATCACGATCTAACTAAATTCGTATCTGGAAAAATCGTAACTGGATCTCAGATTAATGATATTCAATATATCTATGATCTGTGCTGTATTTAGTATTGTCTATGTCATCATTGGAAAGTAGGGTCTATTTTTAGGCAGAAAATTTTCGTTCCATTATTATTCCGCGTGTCATATTTCGTGAGCTCGTACGTTCGTGTACGATATTTTTGGGAAAATTGGTCCGATATATCGATATATCGATGTTTTTTTCGCAATATATCGAAGCAGATATTGATATTTTTTAAAATATCGATGTATCGATAAATCGATATTTTTTTCAACTTTCGACATCCCTATGTTACAATCGGACACGACGCGAGCTTACACATTCGAGTTTTCATAACGTGGATCGATGGAGTGGCATAGAAACGATTTCTCCGCCAAACAATCTGATAGCGATATTAACATCTATCAGAAAGTGGGCAGTTCATTCGGCGACTGTTTACTAACGCTTCGATAAAAGGCCGGTAAAAGCTTGTACTAGCCATGCTTAATCATGTGGCGATTTAAGTACCGATGCTTGTTGATTACTAGATTCTATGAAACTCCACTTTTGTGGGTGATACGGTTTGGCGCGCGTTTTGTTATTGTTGGATCTTTGGAAACTTCAATATTACAAAATGTTGTTAATTAACTAAGCTCGGCTTATTCTCAGATTGTATACGAGTACGATATATGTATATTATGATAGGCTACATAAGAGTGAATCGTCAAAAGGTATGTACGCGGATAACTTCCGAACGACTTCACGTCGGATAACTCTTTAAGGAGGCCGTACCTCAAAAGAAAAAACGGAACCCTTTTGTCTGTAATCACTTTGTTGTCCTTCTTTCCGTCCGTCTGTCTGTCAAGACCCTTTATCTCGGAAACGGTGAAAGGTACCGAGTTGAAATTAAGACCATGTATTCAAATCTGAGATCCTTTGAACCTGTGAAAATATCAAACTTCCGTTTTAACGTAAAGCATAGATATGAACGTTTTGTCTGTCTGTCTTTCAAGACCCTTTATCTAGGGTGTATGTGGAGGTACCGAGTTGAAATTTAAATAATCAGGCACGCCACAGTATTTCTGAGCAAATGCAAATAACTTGACCAAATCTTGGTTCTGATTGCATCGTTGCTCTCGGGTGTGAGCCCTGATTGGTTTAATTGTTTGATGTCGCGACGTTTGATTGGCTATTATCTATTAGGTGGAAGTGTAGTGGGGGCGAGCCGGCGAGATCGGTTCCCGTACAAACAGTCTATGATCACCCTTCTAACCTCTTCCTGTGTTCTGTGTTGCGTACCTTCAAAGGAACCTGCGGTGTGCGGGCCTGTGTATTTGCAGGGCAAGGTTTGTATAAAGAAAAAAAAAATACAGATTTTTTTTTTTTAAATAAAGTAATATTACTTGTTATTTATCTTCTTAATATATATAAATCTCGTGTCACAATGTTTATCCTCAATGGACTCCTAAACCACTGAACCGATTATAATAAAATTCGCACACCATGTGCAGTTCGATCCAATTTGAGAGATAGGATAGTTTAAATCTCAAATTATAGTCGCAATTTTAATTTATTGCAAATTATTACTTTTGGGCGGTACGAAGTTCGCCGAGTCAGCTAGTATAATATAGATTTTACAATAAAAATAGAGAATACCTTGATGACGTCACAAATACGGCAACCAATGCAGTTGGGTTGGTTAAGTATGACCAAAGAATGAAAGCCTAAATATTGTAGCATAGAACATGTGCCAAAACAACTTGCGACGCATGGAGTTGTACAGTTGGCACTGGTATGCATAGCCACAATCAATAATGTTATCCCACAATTAGGGATGCAAAGTCTTTTGAAATATCGATATTTATATTGGAGTCAGGAAAATATCGATATCCGATATATCGACCATTTTACCTGGATATTATCGATATATCGATATTTTTTCCTTTTTATTTTTTATTGACATTAGAATACGGGGTGAGTGACACATTCATATGTTTGTTGGCGAGTTTCTCACAGAATGCATTGAGCCAGCTTTTTTGTTAAACACGCTTGATGAAATCGCGCCAAGCAGGATTTTTTATATAAAGTATATTTCTTGGGGTTCAAGATTTTTTTTAATACATCTATAAGCTCTTGCGATTTCGAAGCAATAGTTATTTCGATATTATTCCATTCAGATAGTCATAGCAGGTAAATTAATTGATATTGGTGTCGATTCTGGCATCATTCTCTAAACCTAAACTTAAATTTGGCAACAGTGTATCCTTGTCATTCTCTATTCAGAATGAAAAGGAGAGACTGATGTTAAATTTAGTTTTAAGTTTAGAGAATCACGCCAGAATCGACACCAGTATTGTGTTCAAATTTTGTCTACGAAATATCGATATTTTGGAATTTCCGATATCGATATTATCGATATCAATGAATTTTAAATATCGATATAAATATCGATATTTTGGTCTCGATAATATCGATATTCCGATATATCGTTGCAACCCTACCCACAATACATCAAGGGACACATCCAATCCTTGGGAAATGTTGCAGACGATTTTACAAAAAGCAACTACCTTACGTTGGAGAAAGCCATGAGTGCTCCCATTACCTGTCAACTAGTTTTGTACATGAATGCGTCAACGAATCACAGATAGGTACAAAACCTTCTAATATAAGTCACGGTACGAAACTCTAGCGCTGACCGTTACTGCGCGGAAGTAAAAATTATCCCACCAAAAACATTCTGTAAAAAAACTAGCCAAGTCTCTTACAAGTCTCTTAAAAGTAATGGAATCTAGACAAAGTCGTGCCAAGTCTAAGGTTCCTTACTGCGATTTCTTTATTATTATAGTTAACTAGAGGTCGCCCGCGACTTCGTCTGAAACGTTAACTTAGTATCTTGAAAATCCCTCTGGAGCCTAACATTTTTTCGGGATAAAAGTAGCCTATGTGTTGTTCCAGGGTGTCAGCTAACTCCATACCAAATTTTAATAAAATCGCTCCAGCCGTTTAGACGTAAAGAAGTAACAAACATACACACTCATATACTCACAAACTTTCGCCTTTATAATATTAGTGTGATGTTGAGTGACTTGGCCGTTGAAGGGTACACAAGGGTACAAAACCAGGTACTACATGACACCAACTTAATGACCTACAGACTTGAAATTTTGGATTTTAAGTATGTTATTATAGCTTACTGGATGACGAAAATTTCTGTGTTCTGGTCTTATCCACAGGTTTTCAAATAAGGGTCTGAAAATGTTTCCAGTGTTTGCTTTGCCCGTTTTGCCGTGCCCCCCGATGATGTCTTGGGGGGAAACGAGGTGCGCGGGGGGGCGTGCGTTGCGTCGATTGGCTCTCCAGTCGTACCTATACCACAGAATATATACACTACGCGAAAAGAAGCGACACTTAAGCATGTGTGCTCGTAAAATCGCCCGCGGCTATGTGTGGGTGTCTGGAGGTGCGCGGGGGCGTTGCGCGGCGCGCGGGGCATGGAGAGGGCAGTCGCCGACTGCCTCGACCGAAGGCATGGCAGTAGCGAAATAGTAAAATAATAGCGTTGCACTGCATTGCACGCACAGACTGACTACGCTACGCAATCTTATTATTATTTAGATAATAATAAGAATTATAAAACGAATCGAAAAAGGAGAAAATATATAAAAGTTAGCAATTGTTATAGTGCCTTCATTAAATGATTAAACATTGATTATAAAATCAAACCTATCCTTCATTATTTACCCCAGTATCCTTGAATCAGTTTACATTTAATAACTTACTATGCATAAATATTCATTGGCACAAGTCTAAATTCCAAGTTCAACCCTAGCGCATACACGCTCCTGCTCAAGGTCACTGACGCTGGAACTCTCACGTACAGAGAGTGTCACCGCTGTGCCTATACGCAGCTATCCCCTCCGCGTTTTGTGCAGCGCTAGAGTTACGTGTCGCAACCCAATACCGAGGACTGATTTTAGACGAGCGGACAAACGAACCGCAAGTAATATAGAGATTTATAATTTTTATTTTTTTTAAAGCATGTAACTGCTTGATGTTTAAATCTAAAGAAAATGTAACTAGAAAAAAATCCACGCGGACTAGGTAGCAGATGGGACTCGAACCCGCACCCTTCGCAATCCGGGCGAATGCACTGACCAATTATGCTACCGCGGCCCTCACGGACCGCGTCGAAATTCCTCTAGCCATTGTTAAGCTGCCACGCAGCGCCATCTCTTCGCATTATAGGTAAACCACAATGTCAAATGAATACTTTTACAAGTATTAAACATTTGAAACAAGAAATAGCAATTATAGTTTTAATTTTTATTTTTTTAAAGCATGTAACTGCTTGATGTTTAAATATAAAGAAAATGTAACTAGAAAAAAATCCACGCGGACTAGGTAGCAGACGGGACTCGAACCCGCACCCTTCGCAATCCGGGCGAATGCACTGACCTAGAGATTTTTTTAATCCAGTCTTAACCTTTAACTAACCTAAAACCTAATTAACTTTCACAGAAATGATCTCAGAGTAATGCTGTGCAAGCATTTACTAACCATTGTCGTTAAGGAGCCGCCCTGACCTGTTGGAAAGGGCAGGTGGAAGTACTGTCCAGAAAGTTAAATCTGGAGCCATACTGTACAGCCTTCCAAGCCGAAACTGTATGCTATTATCCTGCGAGCGACGGAAT